AGGGCCGGGGTATGGACCAGGCCTGGCGGAGCGCAGGGCCCCGGTGGGGGCGGCCCAGGCCGAGTCAGCCACGCTGAACCCCAGGAGGACCGGGCCAAGGTACGTCCCGGGTCCGACACCCACCCGTGTGCCCTGCCTCAGTCTACTCCCGGAGGGCCCCGCCCACTTAGCTGCTGTCACCAAACTGAGACCACACGCGTGTCCGCGGAAGGGGATGGGGGCGCACCTCGCTACTCCCGGGGCCGGGGGCCCTGGTGGCTCAGGTGGGTGCTCACTTAGATCCTGGGGTCCCCACCCGCACACCCTGGTCCCCAATCCCTAGAAGGTGGGATGGGTGGGGCTGGCAAAAAGTCTGACTACTGGGCTGGGCAGGCTCTGTGAGTTCATTAATAATTAATCCTCTCTGAAGCGTTTCCCTGAGGCCGACTGGAGGAGGAGGAGGGGCAGGATCTCCCCCTACCCTCCCCAGACGGGGCTGTCCTAGCAGAGACTGGGAGCCAGGGTACCCAGCAAAGCCCCATGCCCAGAGAAGGTCCCCATGCTTGTCCTGGAAGTGGGGGCAAGGGGAGGGGGAAGGTCACGGAGGAGAGGCTCCTTGAAATTCCACAGTTCCCATGAAAATCCCACGGATTCCAGCCTAAACCAGTGCCCAGCCAAGGGCTTCTGAGTTTGGTCCACTTGCTCTGCTCGGTGCCAGCCTAGCATTCTGGTAACACCACAGAATGCGACTGCCGTCCCTTCCCAGCTGCCCGGAGCAGCAAGGGTCCTCTCTCTCTCTCTCTCTCACACACACACACACACACATCTGGCTGCTGTAACCTACAACTAGAGGAGGGAGGGAGAGAGGGAAGCAGACTGTCATCTGATCCCCAAGTTGCCATGGTGACAGGTCCTATGGAAATCCTTGAGAGGAAAGGGGTGACAGGAGTGGATGGTTCTGGAAGTGGATGGTTCAACTTCTTCTTCTACCTGAGGCCTAGAGGGGGGTGAGGCTTATTCCAGGAAGGTAAGCCTGGACCAGTGCAGCCCCAAAGCTACTCTTCACCTTACCCTGCAGGGAATATTGCTACGTCTCCCTTTTATCTAGGGGGAGAAACTGAGGCCAGGGACATAGCAGATTTGTCTAAGATCCTACAGTTCAGAAGTGGCTGAACTGACTCCAAATCACAGGCATCTCCTCTGAGCCTCCACCCCAGAAACCCCAGCACTATCCAGGCCCTTTCTGCCCCACTGGGGGTCTCATCAGCATTTTTAGATCTACTTGGGCTGCCCCTAACTCCCCAGTTCAAGACCCCCTCCCCTTTGCTTCCCTGGCTCCCAGCTCTGCCTGACACTTGGGGGGTGGCAAACTCTTCCCCTGGGAGCAGAGACAACAGAGCCCTGTTCCCAGCTGCCACCTCGGGCTGCTGCTGCTTCATCCCCTGCCTTAAAGGAAGCTCGTGGGGACAAAGAAGGCCTGCTTTTCCTGCATCCCTTACAGAGATCTGTGTCTTCTGGTCACCAAGCGAGGGAGGAGTGTGTCCCCTCCAGCCCCTCCTGCTGGCCTCCGAGGCCCTGTGTGTGTGTGTGTGCTGCCCGGTGAAGGAGGCAATGATTAACCTGGGAGAATGATGCATACATGGAATTCTGGGTGTGGCACAGCCATGTGAAAGGCTTGCTTTACTTTGACTAGGTGAGGAATATGGATGAACCCACCTTACACTAGTAGCCAGACCGGGCTCCAGGCAGAGAAGGATGGAGCAGAGAGCCCCCAAATCACTAGAGTGGGAGACTACTAGAATGGGCAGGGGAGGGATGGTGGGATGGAGTATCCCCAAGAGTCAGACACCTGCTTTCCCACATGCCAACTCTGGGACACAGAGAAGGAGAGCCTGACATCCTGGGCAAGGCCATCCTGACGATGCATTTGTGTTGTCTGGTGTAGAATATGAGGGTGGGGGACACATGGGAG